CGAAAGACAAAGATCCCCCGTATAGCCTCTATCAGACTGTTGGGGCAAGTGCTGTTAGCGAATACTAAAGACAAAGATCCCCCGTATAGCCTCTATCAGACTTTTGGGGCAAGTGCTGTTAGCGAGCATCAAAGACAAAGATACCCCGTATAGTCTCAGACAGGCAATTGGGGCAAGTGCTGTTAGCGAATACTAAAGACAAAGATCCCCCGTATAGTCTCTGACAGGCTATTGGGGCAAGTGCTGTTCGCGAGCACCTATGAAGGTCGGTACTGCACAACTATGTGGGGTTGCCCCGGCCGCCTTTGTCTCCCCAGTGGCGACGTTTTACACCGCACCAGGTACTCATTTGAGGCCGAGTCGACCTAGGGGAGGCCCAGGAGCTGGGTTCAGATGTATAATTGGCGGGAATTGAACACGCGGGTCGTTGGGTCCGTCGGCGCAGCGCGCTAACCGCTGCGCCACCGCTCCCCACGTAGAAGTTATTTATTTATTATACGATTTGAGGGGGGCTAGCCCCCCCCCACCCACCCTGCCCCTCCTCCCCTCCACACGTGGTGGGTTTGTCGCTAACCATCCGCCAAGGACTGTGCGTGACTAAGGGGCCGTCCATAAATGACGTCACGCAGCTAGGGGTGGGGGGTCAGACATTTGTGACGATGTGTGACGAGGGAGGGGGGGGGGGTGAGAATTGTGACGTCACTTCAAAATGCGCAACTTTAAATAAATATAGACAACACGTTCTACTTAATGAAATAGACTTTTTAAGAAATGTTTTCTCCTACAACATCAGAGTGCAGCGCCACATTAAATACGCACTACAATCACAATAGTTTACAGCGATTTGAAGCATGTTTTATTTTCAAAATATGGTTTTGGGGGGGGGGGCAGAGCTTTGTGACGTCATATTTGAGGGGGGGGGGGGGGTCAAACATCGTCCAAAATCGCGTGACGTCATTTATGGACGGCCCCCTAATTCGGCCGGAATGCCGCCCCCATTCTGTTTTTCGATCCCGATACGCCACAAAATGAAATCAAAGGGCGCGGAGAGGCGCAGGATCGACGCGAGCTGGACCGCTGCATTGTGTTTTTAATTAAAATCTTGAATTGTTACGATTCCAAAGAACACAGGATGAGATGTTACTATCCTTTGTGCAAGCACTTCCAAGAGTTCATGAACAGTGAGCCTGGTGAAATTTGGGGAGCGCATCGTCAGTAGTGACCCTTTGGGTCCTAGGGTGTTTCGGCCTTTCATACTATACACCCTCCCCAAAGGCGGCCAGCGACAGGGTGATCAATCCTACGCTTGCGTCCCATTCCCAATTAGTCATAGGAGTTGCCTTGTTATTGATAGCCAACATCCCATCGAAATTGAGAGAAATGAAAATAGTTTGAACCGTTGGGATAGCAACAGGCTTTGTGCTGCTTGGAAGCGAATCGCCGAAAAATTAATTGTTTAAATGCATTGCCTAGTAAGGCAATGGGGATTACCTGTGCACAGACAAACACATTCCTGCGGATGGAGCTGGTAGGAACGTCGGGTTGCTCGGTCAATGGCCTGCAGGGTCAACGGCGGCGTGGTGTATTCCGCAAATATGTCCGACTGTGAGGGCGGGCACAAGCCGGCGTGAGTAGGTTAAACGTTGAGTTTTATAAGGGCACCACGGGGTGACCAGCCCCTCCCCACCCAGCCTCTCCCCTCCCAGCCCCACCCAGCCCCTCCCCACCCTCCCCACCCAGCCCCTCCCCACCCTCCCCTACCCACCCAGCCCCTCCCCACCCTTCCCTCCCCACCCAGCCCCTCCCCACCCTCCCCACCCTCCCCTACCCACCCAGCCCCACCCCACCCTCCCCACCCAGCCCCTCCCCACCCAGCCCACCCTTCCCTCCCCACCCAGCCCCTCCCTCCCCACCCAGCCCCTCCCCACCCTCCCCTCTCCACCCAGCCCCACCCCTCCCATTTTTGGATGCACGACGGACGGACGGACACAATAATCCCCTGTGGGCTGGTGGAACCAGGAGCTTCCTACCAGTATAACAGCTGCTCAGTTGAACACGTAGGCTTTCGCGACAAATATAATTCACAATAAAGGTGTTTGGGTTAGATCTGGCAAATCGCCCGTTGATGCTGGATGTAATTACCAGCGAAACGTCATATCCACAACATTGTAAATGTTGTGGATTCACTCTTCAACACACTGGTGGGCTCAAATAGTATACTGCAATCTTGATTTGAAACTTTCAGTGTCTGCAGGAATCCATACTCTTTGGTTCTTTCGGTAAAGTCACATACGTGACCTGCCCCCCACCATCCCACCTGCCCCCCCCCACCTGCCCCCCCCCCACCTGCCACCCCCCCACCTGCCACCCCCCCACCTGCCACCCCCCCACCTGCCACCCCCCCACCTGCCACCCCCCCACCTGCCACCCCCCCACCTGCCCCCCCCCACCTGCCACCCCCCCCACCTGCCACCCTCCCCACCTGCCACCCCCCCCCTGCCACCCCCCCCACCTGCCACCCCCCCACCTGCCACCCCCCACTTGCCACCCCCCCACCTGCCACCCCCCACCCCCACCCCCCCACTTGCCACCCCCCCCACCTGCCACCCCCCCACCTGCCACCCCTCCCACCTGCCACCCCCCCACTTGCCACCCCCCCACCTGCCACCCCCCCACCTGCCACCCCTCCACCTGCCACCCCCACCCCCACCCCCCCCACTTGCCACCCCCCCACCTGCCACCCCCCCACCTGCCACCCGCCCACCTGCCACCCCCCCACCTGCCACCCCCCACCTGCCACCCCTCCACCTGCCACCCCCCACCTGCCCCCCCCACCCCCCACCTGCCCCCCCACCTCCCCCACCCCCTCTGGGCGAGAGCATTGTCGCTCTCCGATCCAAGTCAGCTGACGCTTGTGCGCTGTTTAAAGATCACCGCTGGTGAGACAAAGGCGGCCGGACGTGGTGATGGTGATAGCCCCCCCACTCCCCCCACTCCCCCCACTCCCCGTGCCGACCTTTATAGGTGGTGCTCGCGAACAGCATTTGCTCCATCAGCCTGTTGAAAGTCTTCACGGTGGTGGGGCTTTGTCTTTGTGTGTTTGTGTGTCCACGCACACACAGGAGACCACATCCTGGTCTCCTGTGTGTGTGTGTGTGGGGGCATCGTGTGACACCGGTATAACCAGTCCACGTTCACAGTGCGAAAGCCACCACCACCAACACCACCACCAACACCACCAACACCACCACTAACAACACCACCACGACCACCACCACCAACACCACCACCAACACCACTACTACCACCACCACTACTTCCCATAGACTCATATAGAGACCCATAGACTCATATAGAGATCCATAGACTCATATAGAGACCCATAGACTCATATTGAGATCCATAGACTCACAAAGGTATTAGTCAATTAAATGAAGGGGTGTCACGTAATTTATCACAATTAATCTCTCGATTAACGATGCACGGTGACCATATATGGGCAAAGACACGCCCCCTTCGGCCAAAGCCACGCCCAACTTTCTTCAATATGTGAGCAAATCTCTTCTGATCGGTGATTTTGTCGGGTGTACGATGTTATCATAATACAGTGAAAGAGGTTCAGCATTGTGCGTACAGTAATGTACATACAAACGGGTTCGATCCCGACCCTGACACCTGCTGTATATTTGGAGTTTGCGTGTCTCTCTCATCATCATCATCACGGTGGCTAAGAGTTGTTAACTACCTCGCCTGGTGTGCAGGAGGTTGTGGGTTCGATCCTGACCCTGACACCTGCTGTGTATTTGGAGTTTGCGTCTCTCTCTCATCATCATCATCATCACGGTGGCTAGGAGATGTTAACTACCTCGCCTGGTCTACAGGAGGTCGTGGGTTCGATCCCGACCCTGATGCCTGCTGTATATTTGGAGTTTACGTGTCTCTCTCATCATCATCACGGTGGCTAGGAGATGTTAACTACCTCGCCTGGTCTACAGGAGGTCGTGGGTTCGATCCCGACCCTGACGCCTGCTGCTGTATATTTGGAGTTTGAATGTCTCTCTCTCATCATCATCATCACTGTGGCTAGGATGTTAACTACCTCAGCTGGTGTACATGAGGTCGTGGGCTCTATCCAGACCCTGACGCCTGCTGCTGTATATTTGGAGTTTGAGTGTATCTCATCATCATCACTGTGGCTAGGAGATGTTAACTACCTCAGCTGGTCTACAGGAGGTCGTGGGTTCAATCCCGACCCTGACGCCTGCTGCTGTATATTTGGAGGATGTATCCACAATTCTGTGGCTGTCACCTGATGAGGCTGGTTGGTGTTGTTGTAATTACCGGTGAAATGTCACAGCCCTCGAATTGTAAATGTTGTTGTGGGTTTACTCTGCGAACACACAACCAGTGAGTGCTGAACGAGTCACGAATTGGCACGTTTCGTTTACGCGACAAACCTTACTAATTGGCTGTGTCGGCTCGTGGCGGGTTTAACGACACATTTATATATTTACGCGATCTAACCCAAAAAAGCCTCTATGCATATTTGGAGTTTGTGTGTCTCTCTCTCTCCCCGTGGTCGCCTGGATTTTCTCCAGGGTCCTTCGGTTTTCCCCTCCACATTTAGAATCAACATCACGCGTTTCGAGTATTTGACTGCTATAAATGTCCACGTGATGGTGATGATAATCCCACCACCGTCCGACGAGATTGTCACATTTACTGGCTGTATAGCAAAATAAAAAACACAATTACTTCACTATGCGAGTTATAACATGTGCTACAGGCTCTGCACTAGCTTAGTCCAGCACTGCAACGGATGCGATATAAACTTCTGATTGTGAACTTCTTCCCCCGTGACGACCGCCCCTTGCGCTTGTACGATGGGCGACGCGGAGACCGGCCGCGCTCGGCTATTCTGCTTCCCATTTCTTTCACCGAGTCCAAGTTCGTTTTTTTTGCTTGCCGCGTTCTCGCTTTTGCCGTGCGCCCCTCCGCAGCGAATTCGCAGGCCGAGAAGCCTAAGCGGGCGATGTGGGACTTCGGCAAGGCAAAGGGCGACGACGATGCCGGGTCCACCAAGCCCGGCGGCGTTGCCGTCGAGGGGGAGAAGCAGCAGCAGCTGCAGCAGGAGACGAAGCAACAGGAAGGTTCCTTTTTCAAAATGTTCTCGGGGAAAGAGGCGACGGGCGCCGCCGACGGGAAGAACGACAGGGGGGAGGACGGCTCCCGCGAGCCGGCGGGGAGACGCGACGCGACGGCAGCTGCGACGGCGGGCGGCACGGCGGGGCAGCAGCAACAGCAGAAGGAGAGCGGAGGGTCCTTCTCGTTGAAGCAGATGTTCGGCGGGAAGGACTCGGCGGCACCGGCGGCCGACGAGGAGTCGGCGCAGAACGCGGCGGGGAAAGCCGAGCCGGCGATGAACGGCCCCGTCGCCAAAACGACGCTGCCCGCCTCTCGGGGAAGATCCGCGGAGAAGCCACGCGCGTCGCAGGTGACCCCACAGTCGTCGGCCGCCCCGCTCGCTCTCTTTCGCTCTCACTCGCTCACTTCCTCGCTCACTCGCTTACTTCCTCGCTCACTCGTGAGTTCATCACCCGATGGTCAAACCGATGTATGTAATTCTCAGAGCTGGCATTTAGCCGAAAGCACAACCAATTTGTTGAGCGGGCTGAGATGACCAGCTCGCGATGTGAGAGAAGCCAGTTTCATCACAACGCAGCCTGAACGAGTATATATCGGTCCCTAAGTCTGTAGTCTTCTGTGAGTCTATGGGTCTCTATGGCACTCTCTGTGAGTCTACGGGTCCCTATGTAAGTCTGTAGGCCTCTGTGAGTCTATGGGTCTCTATGGCACTCTCTGTGAGTCTACGGGTCCCTATGTAAGTCTGTAGGCCTCTGTGAGTCTATGGATCTCTATGTGAGTCTGTTGGTCTCGATGTGAGTCTGTGTGTTAACCTGTGCGTCTCTGCGTCAGTCCGTGGGTCTCGATGTGAGTCCGTGGGTCTGTGTGCAAACCTGTGGGTCTCTACGTGAGTCCGTGGGTCTCTGTGTGGTGCTGTGGGTCTGTATGCGAGCCTATGGATCTCTATGTGAGTCCGTGGGTCTCGATGTGAGTCCGTGGGTCTGTGTGCGAACCTGTGGGTCTCTACGTGAGTCTGTGGGTCTCTGTGTGGTGCTGTGGGTCTGTATGCGAGTCTGTGGGTCTCTATGTGAGTCCGTGGGTCTGTGTGCGAACCTGTGGGTCTCTGCGTGAGCCACTGGTGACCGGGCCGAGACCATCGACTCATTAGATGAGAGAAGCCGGTGTCTCATCATGGGCAGCGGCTGAAACCCGGGGTTCAATCCCAGGCTCTCAGCGCCCACCGGCAAAGCCCCCTGACCTCCAAGCCACGTGGATCTCACCTTTTATTTTATTTTGAACGATGCTGCGTTTTGCTCGCCGCCATGTCGTCGTTGATGGATGGCGCATCTGTACTTTTTATTTTTAGTGGAGATTTTAAATTTAGTATTTCTTGGGAAACGGCGTGGTTCACCACCGGCACTTGTTATGCCGAATCTTGCACTTTTTTGGGTTCCTTCGTTGGCTAAAACTTTTTTAAAGATCTTGATTTGAAGCTTTCGTGACTGCAGGAATTCATACTTTTTGGTTCTTTCAGTAAAGTCTCGTAGATAGACAATAAGTAATATAATTTTTTTTTAAAGACGCTTTAATTAAATGTACCATACTAGTAATGGCCCCAAAGCTTGCCATAACGTAAGGGACCGTGGTCAATTACAGCCAACGTCAGTTTACCGTGGACAAATAGACCCAAGCCGAAACATAACATGTACAAAATAATGTTTAAAATATGTTTTTTTAATTTTTTATGATAGAATATAGTATTGTCATCAGTATGACATAAGTATACCAAGTTTGCAGTTGATACCACATTGGGAAGTGGGTAAAAATTGAGTTACAAGATTTGAGGATACAAAAACGACAACAACGACAACAGACAGAGTGAGTTAAATAAAAGCGTGTAAAAAATGTACCCGTAAAAACAAAGTTTTTCACTATAAATCCTTTTTATGCGTGTTCAATGGGCCACAACCCAGCCCACATTGGTCTTTGAAACGGGCGGCTAGAGTCCTCTCGTCCTCTGGCTTGAGATGGCTGCCACCTATGGGTCAGATGATTGTCTGCCACCATTAAGCAATTGGTAATTAAATATAAAAAAAAATTCCTAAAAGGTGTAAAATTTTGGAACATTTTTTTTCACGAAAATACATTGTCACACACAACGAGTCTGTGTGCAAAATGTCAGCTCGATTGGATCACGGGAAGTGGGTTAAAAAACGACCGAAAGATTTGCACGGTCGTAAGCGCGCAAGCAAGCGAACTTAATATAAAGGATTTACAAATAGCCGAGGTCGCCTACCCTACCCTCTCTGCGATCTTACATTCACTTGCAAATTCCATCCCTAGCCCCGCCCACCTACCCTTGGGTTGTACCCACCACAAAAGTTGGTTGCAGTAACTCTCTCGCTACATTTCCTCCTCGGCAGTCCGCCTGCTGTGTTGTTTCACCTGAAGACGGTGGCTTGTGTGCCTATCGAAACGTCGTGATTTATTAGTTATTTTTTTATATTCTTGGTTCTTTCGGTAAAGAAAATTTGAAACTTTTAAAATCCTTTATATTAAGTTCGCTTGCTTGCGTGCTTGCGTGCTTGCTTGCTTGCTTACGACCGTGCAAATCTTTCGGTCGTTTTCTAACCCACTTCCCGTGATCTAATCGAGCTGACATTTTGCACACAGACTCGTTGTGCGAGACAATTAATGTTCGTGAAAAAAATTCAAAATTTTTACACTGTTTAGGGAAAACAAATTAAATATTTAATTACCAATTGCTTAATACTGGCAGACAATCATCTGACCCATAGGTGGCAGCCATCTCAAGCCAGAGGACGAGAGGACTCTAGCCGCCACGCATATAAAGGATTTAGAGTGAAAAACTTTGTTTTTACGGGTTATACTTGTTTCAAATTTTCTTGCCATGGATTTCACACCTGATAACGATTGCTTGTGTTGCAGTCGAAACGTCGTGAGAATTTTTTATTGTTTTATATTATTTTATTTCCCTTTTATGTGACTTTACCGAAAGAACCAAGAATATGAATCCCTGCAGTCACGAAAGCTTTAAATAAAAATTTCAGTTATTTTTTTGAATTTTAAAATATTTTTCATTGATATGATTTCTTCCCATGTTTTCCCCATAATACTCGAATTGCAAAACGTCGTAGTGGGTTTACTCTCCAGCACACCGGTTTGTGCTGAACTAGTGACGAATCGGCACGTTCTGTTTACGCAACAAACCTTACTAAGTGTCCGTGTCGGGTTGTGGCGGGTTTAACGACACTTTCATATTTACGCGATCTAACCCAAAACAACCTCTGTTGTGTGTTACATTGGTCATGAACGCCTCCTACTACTACTACCACCACGTGTTCAACTTTTTGTATTTTTAAATCCTTTATATTAAGTTCGCTTGCTTGCTTGCGTGCTTGCTTGCTTACGACCGTGCAAATCTTTCGGTCGTTTTTTAACCCACTTCCCGTGATCCAATCGAGCTGACATTTTGCACACAGACTCGTTGTGCGAGACAATTGATGTTCGTGAAAATTTTTTTCCAAAATTTTACACTGTTTAGGGAAAACAAATTAAATATTTAATTACCAATTGCTTAATACTGGCAGACAATCATCTGACCCATAGGTGGCAGCCATCTCAAGCTAGAGGACGAGAGGACTCTAGCCGCCACGCATATAAAGGATTTAGAGTGAAAAACTTTGTTTTTACGGGTTATGCTTATTTTCTCTGATGCGTTACGTCCGTCACGGACACGGTGTGTGACACGCGAATTCACAGCATCTTAGCTCACAGGGCTCTTCAGATTGAACTGAAACTGAACCTTACTGCTGCCGCCGCCGCTGCCGCTGCTGCTACCGCTGCTAGTACTGCTGCTACTGCTGCTGCTACTACTACTGCTACTACTACTGCTAGTACTGCGACTACTGCTGCTGCTACTACTACTGCTGCTACTACCGCTGCTACTGCTGCTACTACTACTACTGCTGCTACTACCGCTGCTACTGCTGCTACTACTACTGCTGCTACTACTACTGCTGCTACTGCTACTACTGCTGCTACTACTACTGCTGCTACTGCTACTACTGCTGCTACTACTACTACTGCTGCTACTACCGCTGCTACTGCTGCTACTACTACTGCTGCTACTACTACTGCTGCTACTGCTACTACTGCTGCTACTACTACTGCTGCTACTGCTACTACTGCTGCTACTACTACTACTGCTGCCGCTGCTGCTACTACTACCGCTGCTACTGCTACTACTGCTGCTACTACTACTGCTGCTACTACCGCTGCTACTACTACTACCGCTGCTGCTACCGCTGCTAGTACTGCTGCTACTGCTGCTACTACTGCTACTACTACTGCTGCTACTACTGCTACTACTACTGCTGCTACTGCTACTACTGCTGCTACTACCGCTGCTACTGCCGCTGTTGCTACTACTGCTGCTACTGCCGCTGCTACTACTACTGCTGCTACTACAGCTACTACTACCGCTGCTACTGCTGCTATTACCGCTAGTGCCGCTGCTGCTACTGCTGCTGCTACTACTACCGCTGTTACTGCCGCTGCTACTACCGCTGCTGCTACCGCTGCTACTGCCGCTGCTGCTACTACTGCTGCTGCTACTGCTACTGCTGCTACTGCTGCTGCTACTACTACCGCTGCTACTGCCGCTGCTAGTACTGCTACTACTGCTGCTACTACTACTGCTGCTACTACCGCTGCTACTACTACTACCGCTGCTGCTACCGCTGCTAGTACTGCTGCTACTACTGCTACTACTACTGCTGCTACTACTGCTACTACTACTGCTGCTACTGCTACTACTGCTGCTACTACCGCTGCTACTGCCGCTGTTGCTACTACTGCTGCTACTGCCGCTGCTACTACTACTGCTGCTACTACAGCTACTACTACCGCTGCTACTGCTGCTATTACCGCTAGTGCCGCTGCTGCTACTGCTGCTGCTACTACTACCGCTGTTACTGCCGCTGCTACTACCGCTGCTGCTACCGCTGCTACTGCCGCTGCTGCTACTACTGCTGCTACTACTGCTACTACTACCGCTGCTACTGCTGCTATTACCGCTAGTGCCGCTGCTGCTACTGCTGCTGCTACTACTACCGCTGCTACTGCCGCTGCTACTACCGCTGCTGCTACCGCTGCTACTGCCGCTGCTGCTACTACTGCTACTACTACTGCTGCTACTACTACTGCTGCTACTACCGCTGCTACTACTACTACCGCTGCTGCTACCGCTGCTAGTACTGCTGCTACTACTGCTACTACTACTGCTGCTACTGCTACTACTGCTGCTACTACCGCTGCTACTGCCGCTGTTGCTACTACTGCTGCTACTGCCGCTGCTACTACTACTGCTGCTACTACAGCTACTACTACCGCTGCTACTGCTGCTATTACCGCTAGTGCCGCTGCTGCTACTGCTGCTGCTACTACTACCGCTGTTACTGCCGCTGCTACTACCGCTGCTGCTACCGCTGCTACTGCCGCTGCTGCTACTACTGCTGCTACTACTGCTACTACTACTGCTGCTACTGCTGCTGCTACTACTACCGCTGCTACTGCCGCTGCTACTACCGCTGCTGCTACCGCTGCTACTGCCGCTGCTACTACTACTGCTGCTACTACTGCTACTACTACCGCTGCTACTGCTGCTATTACCGCTAGTGCCGCTGCTGCTACTGCTGCTGCTACTACTACCGCTGCTACTGCCGCTGCTACTACCGCTGCTGCTACCGCTGCTACTGCCGCTGCTGCTACTACTGCTGCTACTACTGCTACTACTACTGCTGCTACTGCTGCTGCTACTACTACCGCTGCTACTGCCGCTGCTACTACCGCTGCTGCTACCGCTGCTACTGCCGCTGCTACTACCGCTGCTGCTACCGCTGCTGCTGCTACTGCCGCTGCTACTGCTGCTACTACTGCTACTACTACTACTGCTGCTACTGCCGCTGCTACTACCGCTGCTGCTACCGCTGCTACTGCCGCTGCTACTACCGCTGCTGCTACTGCCGCTGCTACTGCTGCTGCTACTGCCGCTGCTACCGCTGCTACTACCGCTGCAAGGGTAACCAACCACGGCGTGTCACACCGCAGCCGGCGGCAGAGGTCGGAGCGGACGTCCACGAGGCGGCGGGAGAGGCGGCGGACGTGAGCGGGAAGGAGCCGCAGGGCTTCTTCAGCTTCCTGAAGAAGGTGCGTGACCACCTGCTGGCGGGGACACACAGACAAAGATACCCCGTGTAGCCTGCGACGGACTGTTGGGGCAAGTGCTGTTAGCGAGCGGCACCTATGAAGGCCGGCACGGCACACGAGGGGGTGGCCAGCACCACGCCCGGCCGCCTTTGTCTCCCGAGTGGTGATGTTTAAACATCGCACCAGGTACTCATTTGAGGCTGAGTCGACCTAGGGGAGCCATAGGACCGGTTCTGATCATCGTCACTGGTGTTGGCCTTGAGCAGGAATCGAACTCGGGTCGCCGGGTTCGTAGCGCAGCGTAGCGCTGACTGCTACACCACCGCTCCTGCACACACAAAGATCCCCCGTGTAGGCTTAACAGACTGTAGGGGCAAATGCTGTTAGCGAGCACCTATGAAGGCCGGCACTGTGGCACACGAGGGGCTGGGTGGCCAGCAGCACGCCCGGCCGCCTTTGTCTTCCCCAGTGACGATGTTCACACATCGCACCAGGTTACTCGTTTGAGGCTGAGTCGACCTAGGGGAGGCATAGGAACGGTTCTGACCATCGTCACCGGTGTTGGCCCTCGTGTGACCTCCCCTCCTTCATGCGCCCCTCCACGTACCTTTACACCCTCCCCCTCTCCCGTGCGTCCCCCACCTCCCCCCTGGGCCCCCCTCCCCCTTCCCCCGTGCCCCCCCTCCCCACCCCTTGCACCCCCCCCATCATGCGCCCCCCCTCCACCCCCCCCCACGCGCCCCCCCCCGTACACCCCCCCTCTACCCCCCCCTCCACCCGCAGGGCTCCAGCGACATGACGGACGGGGCGGGCCACAGCGGCGGGCTGCTGCGGCTGCAGTCGGTGAGTCTGCACGAGTCGGTGGACGAGGGGCTTCCCTCCGACTCCGCGTCCCTCTCCGACACTCGCTCCTCTTCGGCCGCGTCAGCCGCGGCCTTCGGGGGCTTCTTCAGGTCCATGGTGAGCGCGTCAGGACGTGCGTGTGTCCACGTGCGTGTCCGTGTGCGTGTGTGTGTGTGTGCCCGCGTGCCCGCGTGCGTGTCCACGTGCGTGCGTGCGTGTCCACGTGCGTGTCCGCGTGCGTGCGTGTCCGCGTGCGTGCGTGCGTGTCCACGTGCGTGTCCGCGTGCGTGCGTGTCCGCGTG